AACCACATTGGGAGGCAGCTCTTCGAGTTCTAAGGTACATTAAAGGCACTCCTGGTCAAGGACTTCTACTGCCATCTGAAAACAATTTAAGATTACAGGCATATTGCGATTCTGACTGGGGTGGTTGTCGAACTTCCAGACGATCTATTTCTGGGTTCTGCATTTTCCTCGGAAATTCAATTATTTCTTGGAAGTCTAAAAAGCAGACTAATGTGTCCAGATCATCAACAGAAGCCGAGTATCGAGCTATGACAAATACTTGTTTAGAGTTAACTTGGTTAAGATACATTCTTCAAGACTTGAATGTTCCACTGTCCGAACCAGCATTATTATATTGTGATAATCAAGCAGCATTACATATAGCAGCCAATCCAGTTTTTCATGAACGTACGAAACACATTGAAATAGATTGTCATATAGTTCGAGAAAAATTACAAGCTGGAATCATCAAACCGTGTTATGTTTCGACCAAAATGCAATTGGCAGATGTTTTTACTAAAGCTTTGGGAAGACAGCAATTTGACTTTTTGAAGGACAAGTTGGGTGTGATCGACATACACTCTCCAACTTGAGGGGGAGTATTAAGAGGATATTTTGCCGTGATAATTAGTTAGAATATATCTTAGATATTTAGGAAGCTGTTAGAATAGATTTGATTAACCGTATATTTTATTTATTTACCAGATTTAATTAGATATATATTTTTCTATTTTTAGGTATTAGTTGATAGTTTGTATCCTATTTAAACGTGGTAAACCTGAATGAAGATCATACTTTCGATCCCAATTCTATTTCTATTTCTCATTCTTAACAGAAACCTTATTTGAAAGGAATTACACTTTTCTTGAGGAAAAAATTGGTTTAGACATATACTTTCGATCAAAAGATCATATTCGAATCTCCCAATCATATTAGACTCAAAAGACAAAAAGAAACCGAAAAGGTCCAATGCTAGAAGAACTGTTGTTAGACCTTAGAAAAAAACAATCTAACAATGCCCGATTTACCCCCTGGAGAGAGGAGGAGGTGACAAACAAAAAAAGCTCTGTTTGTTATCTAATCTAAGCAAGTTGTTCGTACTTTAGTTCTTCTTGTAGCTATTGTTTTAAAACAAAGTTTTAGAAACTGAAATAGTAAAAGCAGCTTATAAATGAAAATGAAACATGTATATAAATAGGATTTTCCGTTGAGACATTCATTTTTTTTTTGGTACAATGTATTGTACGAAGGAAATTATGGTGAGAGGTCTAATTGAGTCTTAAAGAGTTGCGTGAAGGGTCGGGAAAGCTTCTAATATCATCAGTAGTGCATACCATACATCAATTATTTGACATATCATCAGATAGTACAGTCTTATTGGATTCCACGCTATTCCTAATTTCTTATTTTATGACGAACAATGAACGAAAGTAGCATAGAGAAATTGTCGCTTTGTCAAGCTGACTAAAAAGCACCCCAAATTTCTGTACATCAACATTATATTCAAAAAGTTGATAAGAATGCATTCACATCTTTCTTTGCCTAACTTAGATCGAGTTGTGTTAGTTTAAGCTAAGCTGTTCCGATCCTTTGTTTAATAAGCTCAACCGTTCTTACGTAAATTTGCCAAATTGAAATTGAGTTAAGTTAGTGTTGGTTGTTTTGCAATTCGTTCGACAATACCAGTTATTCAAATTACAAATTTATCCAACTGTTGATCGAGTTCGTCGAACTCGTTCAAAATTTTGTGAGAATTAGATTGATCTTAGAACACTGAATTTTATTTGGTAGAAAAAATATATCATACCTACCCTAGCTAAATCTAAGTTGGATTGATACAAGTTTTGAAAGTAATGAATTTCATTTTCATCCATTACTTTGCAAATGCTTTCAACAATACTATGGATGACTTTTTGAACTGCTACTAGTGGTGGTGGGTGAGTTTGCTTTGTGTGCCTCTTTATATTTGCCTTTTATTTTTATTATTTTTTTTAATGAAAAAAATAAATTTATAAATGTCGAGTCATGAATGAATAGTAGTGGTTTCTTTAATATGAGTGATTTTTTCATTCTTTTCATCCTTTTACGTATGTTTAAGGATATATAAATGAACCGAGTTCACATCGAATGAGAGTACTCAGAGGATATAAAAGTATGAATAAGAAAGCTTACAAAATTGGTAGTTACTACCTATATCACTTTTTGGTGACTTGGTGATAGAACTTCGAAATTAAGTGTGACGTAACGATCTTTTTTCGGAAACAATGAGTAATGACAAAACATGTTAAAAAGACTCACTTTGGACTTAGGCACAGTCAAAATTTCACTGACTTGTTAGTTATTAATATTTTTTAGTTTTCTAACATCGAACCGACACGATTGTAAATGTTCGTGTACTAAACTTATAATGTAACAGATTAAAAGCATATATATTTCATTATATAATTGACAAATTAGTTGTCTATATGAGCATAGCTCGTTAACCTAAGTTTATATTTTCGACAAAAAAGTTAGAGGTTTAAAACATTTCCCTCCACATACTATTTATTTATTTTTTTAGAAAAATATATAACTTAAATTATTTGATATTTATATAATAAAGACTCAAACAATCCTTGGTTGTAATTGCATTACGATAGTGCAATACGTCAAGACGAAAAAAAAAACCTAATAAAAATAGAATAAAACCAATAGGGTCATTTCAGGAATTTCACAAAAGAAACCAAAATTTGTACGGAACATCCAAGGAGGAACAAAACTTATAAATAAAATAAAAATAAAATACCGTTAAATCCGTTGAAGGCAAAGCGTGGCGTATCAGAAGGCCCGATTCTTCGATGTTTTTTGTTTTGGCATTCAAAATCCCGAAAAGAAAATTCTCCCCCGAAAATTTCATTCTTTTTGCATAATTATTTTGAATAAAAAAAAAATCTCCATTTTATCGATTTTGTTATTCTCCATGTATCTTCCTTTTTTCCGATTCCCTCTCTGAATTTGCCAATTTTTTCCTCTATAAGTTGTTGTCCACAAAACCCACCCCTCTCTTTCGCTTTCTCCCACCAATTCAACGATACCCATCTCCTCTTTGTTCACTATTTCTTTTATTTGGGATATCCCCTTCCGATTTCGGTGAAGGTTTTTGGGTTCTTCATCCTGTTCTTGTTGTTTTTCTACGATTCTTGGCGATTCTGCATGTGGGTCGGTTTTCTCTGGGCTTCTTTGTCGCCCAAACTTGCAGAAACTGATCGAAGATAGTAAAATTTAACGGTTCTAAGCTGCTAGATTTGTGGGGTGGTTCGAACACTGGCTGCTTATCGAGTTTTTAATCTTCCAATACCATAATATTTTATTTGTCGTTTGAGTTCATTGGTTATTGTTTTTTTTATATATATAAAAGAAACAAAAGATGTGTTGAGAGGTTTCTGGTTGTTTGTTTGTTTGTGTTTTTAGATTAGAATCATGGTTGTTTCGTTGAACTGGTAACGTATTGCTTGTCGTCTTCTTGTCATCTTCGTTAAGTTTTTTGAACCAATTTCTAGGTCTAGTTTTTATTGTCTTCCATGTGTTTGTAAAAATGTCCCTGTGTTTTTTTTGAATTCCTTTGTTTTCTTTTTTCCTCTTTACTTTCAATCTATCTGTCAAAGCTTTATTGGAACATGGATTTAACAAATGGGGGCAGGGCCGGCAAAGCTCCGATAGCGAATAATTCCGTTACCGAAGTAGCTGATATTGTTTCTGGTAAGTCTAGCAATCCCCAAGAGAATGATTTGGGATCAAAGTTGGGGATAGGAAGCAAAAGCAACAAGGATATGGTATTTCGTGCTGATAAGATTGATTTCAAGAGCTGGGATATTCAGCTGGATAGACACTTGAGCAGGGCATGGTCAAGGGACAGGGAAGTGCCTGCCAAAAAGGAAGAATGGGAGATTAACTTGTCTAAACTTGATATCAGATATGTTAAAGCTCATGGCACTTATGGTACTATTTACAGAGGAAACTATGATGGCAAAGATGCTGCAGGTAATTCGCACCTCGTTTTACAGTATTTTTCGCCGTCTAGACAATCATCGTAACGATTGACCATGTGTTCTTGATTAGATATGGATCAGTTTTCAAATGATTAAGCCAGTCCATCTTTGTTTGAGTAATTTGATAATGATGCCTTTTTCCTTATTGAAGCTGACATAACTAATTAAGTTTAATGTGATCAAAAGATGTTGAATGTGGTTCCTATGTTGGTAGTCTTCCTATAAGAGAATTGCTCTGACAATTATAGAGTTGATAACGTTTTGAAAGTACTTTAGCTCCACGCATTAGATGATTACTGGATGGCATAGTCGAGTTTTCGTTTGTTTTATCGCTTTATGACGATATTCTGAATATTGTAGTGAAAGTGCTTGATTGGGGGGAGGATGGTGTTTCCTCCGTTGCTGAAATTGCTGCTCTTAGAGCATCTTTTCGCCAGGAAGTTGCTGTATGGCATAGGCTTGACCATCCCAATGTTGCCAAGGTCAAGTATCTTTTACATGTAGTGTATGGTATTACAGTATCTCAAACAGGTCAAACCATTCATTTTTACTGTGATTATTCTAATACGGAAGGCTTTGATTCTTTACATTTGGTACTTCCACTGTTCTTCATGGTCATATTCTCCTGCTGAAATGTCTAACTATTTTGTTTTCCTGTTCTACGGGGCTCTTGTGTTCATATGTGAAGATCAAATGATAAGAACTTTATGATACAGTTTTATGGAGCTTCAATGGGGACCTCCAACCTTAAAATCCCTCCCAAAAGCCCATCATTTGACAGTAACCAATCTTTTCCTTCAAGGGCTTGCTGCGTTGTTGTTGAGTATCTTCCAGGAGGAACCCTAAAGGGCTTTTTAATCAAAAACAGGAAAAAGAAACTTGCATTTAAGGTTGTGATTCAACTTGCTTTGGATCTTTCTAGAGGGTAAGTAAACGTTGGATTCTACAAATCATTCCAATATGCTGAGTTTTGAGGCAGTTGCTTATTTTGATCTTGCAGTTTGAGTTATCTACACTCCAAAAAGATTGTACACCGTGATATTAAAACGGAGAACGTGCTGTTCGATGCTCAGAAGACTCTCAAAATTGTTGATTTTGGCGTTGCTCGAGTCGAAGCGCAGAATCCACGGGATATGACTGGAGAAACTGGCACGCTCGGTTACATGGCTCCCGAGGTTCCTTCATTTTTTTCTCTAAGATCTTATGGTTGATGATAATTGGCTTCTCATTTCAATACAGTTCATTCAACAGATCCAATTCTCATTTGGGTTGCATTGTTTCTCTGTTTTTGACTGAATAAAGGAATCTAACCAACATTTTTTCTACAGGTCCTTGATGGTAAGCCTTATAATCGAAAATGTGATGTTTACAGTTTTGGTATATGTTTGTGGGAAACATATTGCTGCGATATGCCTTACCCAGATCTCAGTTTTGCTGAAATTTCATCTGCAGTTGTACGCCAGGTATGTTTATTTAATTAACTACACAATTATTGACACTACAAATACGAAACGGTATGCTTTAACTTCGAGAACGTTCTTCTTTCTTTTTTCGGGTGGGCGGAGACGAGGTAGCTCAGCCAGGTCCGAATTGGCCATTGACTTCTATAATCGATTGTTTTTCGTTAAGTTTGTGAAGTAGTCTCGTGAACTATTTAGAAAACATTGTCTTTGTAAGAACTTCCATTTGACACTTGATCATAGAAATTGTGAAATCCCACATTGGTGAGAGGGAAGAACGAAACAACCCTTATAAAGATGTGGAAACTTCTCCCTAGCAAGATGCGTTTTAGAAATCGTGAGGCTAACGACGATACGTAACAGGTCAACGCGGATAATATCTACTAGCGGTGGGCTTGAATTGTTACAAATGGTATCAAAGTTAGACACCAAGAGGTGTGCCAACTAGGATGTTGGGTCTCAAGGGTGGGGTGAAATGTGAGATCTCACATCGGTTGAAGAGGGGAACAAAACATTCATTATAAGGGTGTGGAAACCTCTCCCTAGCAAACGCATTTTAAAACTGTGTGGCTGACAACGATGCGTAACAGGCGAAAGTGGACAATATCTGTTAGCGGTGGGCTTGGGTTATTGCAAACAGTATCAAAGTCAGACACCAAGAGGTGTACCAACTAGGATGTTGGGTCCCAAGGGTGGAGTAGAATGTGAGATCCCACCTCGGTTGAAACCCTTACTCAGCAGACGCATTTTAAAACTGTGAGGTTGATGATGATACATAATGGGCCAAAACAAACAATATCCACCGGTGGTAGGCTTACGCTCTTAGCTAGAGATATTAGTTTGTTTTGCTCTATAGATTTGATTGAATTAGCATTTTAAGTGGTTTGTTCAGATCATGTGTATCCATAGAAAAAGCAACTTTAGTCGAAAAACTTAATCCATGCTATAATGTTGACAAAAATTGACTGTGATGTACCATGAGTGCTTGATTTGTGGATGTATTCTGAAATTGAATTCATGAGTAAAAATTACGTGCAACAGAATTTACGACCCGAAATCCCTAGATGCTGTCCGAGTTCATTCGCAAGCATCATGAAAAGATGTTGGGATGCAAATCCAGAAAGGCGACCCGACATGGACGAGGTCGTAAACTTGTTGGAAGCCATCGATACGAGCAAGGGAGGTGGCATGATTTCTAAAGATCAAGCTACTCGTTGTTTTTGTTTCGGCATACCTCGTGGTCCATAGATAATGACAGTTTAGAGAAGTCATTGGTAAGCATAAAGATTGAACTATTATATAGAAGTATGCAGTAGTGCAAATTAGCCAAAGGTGTGCGTTCGTGAGCCGACCTCAAAGTTTCAATCAATTCTTGACCACCTACTCAAAACTAAGAGCGGATGCCGCCGCTTCTACGAACTTCTTTTTTTTGCCACAAGTACTCTTGTTTTGCTGTTCATATTTGGGATTTGGAACTATTTTGATGGTTTAGATTTTGAATTTAAAATTTTAAAATAAATATTTGTAGTAAAAAAAAAAAAAATACAAAGTCTAATAATATAGTATTTCTTTTTTAACATAAACATATTCATAAATTTAAATATATTATATGAAATATATTTTTGAATATCTTATATTAAATTAGGAAGCCAGCTGTATATAAATGAAAATTTTATATTAAATATCCAAATTGAAAAAAGCTACTAATTTTTTAAAATTATATTTATATATTGAAATTGGCAACTAATTTAATTTTATATTTAATCCGTCAATTTTATTACATAAACATAAAATGTAACAAAAAGTAATTAAAAATGAAGAAAAATAAATTGTCTAATTATGCGAGGTAAAAAATATATTTTTTATATATTATCCGATAATTTTGTGGGAAAAAAATGTCTTTGTAAATTTCTCGATTTATTTTCATATAAAATTAAATAAAGAAAGGGATATATTCATAAATTCATTAGTTTAGTAAAATAAATTTAAAAATAATAAAAAGAAAAATTATAAATTGGTTATAATAATAATAAAATAAAAGGCTGAATGAAAAAATAGGAGGAACAGTATAAATGCCCTTCGAACTCCCTCTTCTCGAATCTTGATTGGCTCAAGAAAAGCTTCGACGGCTGATAAACACATTCATTCTCGAAATTTCCCATTCCTGAATCATTGAATCTTTGAGTAGTTGAATATCTACAATGGCGGAAACTACTTCCGACAAATTGTCATCGGCGTTCATGACAGAGTTTCTGAGAAATGCCGGTGGCACCGCCATTATTGATGGTGGTTTGGCCACGGAGCTGGAACGGCAAGGCGCCGACCTCAACGATCCTCTTTGGAGCGCTACATGTCTCCTCACTTCCCCTCACCTGATTCACAAAGTATATGTTCTTCCACTTTATCTTCAGCTTTTGGTTTTTTTCGTTTGTTTTCGTAACTAGTATAATCAGAAACCGGATGATTGCTTTCCCAATTTGTTTAATCTCAAATTCTAGTGACCATCTATGTTGTTTTAAAAGCGAAACTATAATAATATTTATTATAAAGTTGGTTTGGCTTATCTGTTAACCTCACTTCGGATTTCGCTTTTACTTAATCACAGATTCATCGTTTGTAATGCAGGTGGATGAAGCTTTTTTCTGCTGATATCTTGCTTCTTTCATGCAATTAGCTCTACTTTGAAACGAATTAAATTCTGTTTTCAGTTTCGTGGATGTTGAATTTAGAAAGTAGCATTCCCCCATTGGCTTTTGAATTTATCACTTATCAGCTCGCTTTAGGTCTGTTTGAGAGTGCTAAAAAGTTCTTTTTCGTACTATAAAAGTTGTTAACGTTAGGAATCAAAAACCTCCTCAATGGCATGATATTGATATTGTCCACTTTGAGCATTAGTTCCCATGACTTTGCTTTTGGTTTCTTCTGAGATCTATAGAACCCACGAACAGTCTCCCCTTAATCGAGGCTCGACTCCTTCTTTAGAGCCTTCGAACAAAGTACACCCTTTGTTCGACATTTGAGGATTCTATTGATATAGCTTAGTTAAGAGCGTAGCTCTGATACCATATTAAATCACATACCTCCACAATAATATGATATTGTCCACTTTGAGCATTAGCTCTCGTAGCTTTGTTTTTGGTTTCCCTAAAAGACCTCATACCAATGGAGATGTATTCCTTACTTATAAACCCATGATCAACCCCTTAATCAGCCGATATGGGACTCCTCTCCCAACAATCAATGTTTGGTTCCGTAGCTCTTTGAAATTTTAATGCGTCATTATTGCTTTGATTCTTTTCAATTATTTTTTTGGTATTGTGTGGTATAGGTACACATGGATTACCTTGAAGCAGGGGCAGATATTATCATCACGGCATCTTATCAAGTAATTCTCCAGTCTGAATTTCTAATGATGTTTACGTCATAAAAAAGTCAAACCAAGTGTCATTTTATCTCCACAGGCCACCATCCAGGGATTTGAGTCCAAAGGGCTTTCAACAGATGAAGGTGAATCCTTGTTAAGAAAGAGTGTGGAGATCGCCTGTTCAGCACGGGATAATTATTATGATAGGTGTAATACAAGCATTCCTGTTGAGACTCCAGATGGTAAAATTTTCAAAAAACGTCAGATACTTGTAGCAGCTTCAGTGGGGAGCTATGGAGCATATTTGGCTGATGGGTCTGAGTACAGGTGAGTTAATACTACTTCCAGGGGGCTTTTACAACCTTATATGAAATTTAATTTGGATGTTTCAACAGTAAATGCAACCTTTTATCGATCAGTTTTTTTTTTTTTTACCAACTATTACCAATGCAGAAATTTCTGTCCATTTCAACTCTGAAGTGATTCGATGTTCTTTGTTTCTGTGCCTTCTTAGTGGTAATTATGGTGACAGTATTACACTTGAGGCTCTGAAAGAATTCCATAGGAGAAGGGTAAAAGTGCTTGCAGAGTCGGGGGCTGACCTGATTGCATTTGAAACCATTCCCAATAAACTTGAAGCTAAGGTATTTGATCCTAATGCAATGAAATTAACGTGCATATCATTTTTTGGTCTTATAGTTGCCATATCTGTGACCAGCTCCTTTAATTGAAATTTTATAGTACAACATGAAGTTTCCCTATGATTGCTTTTGGCTTTTTGGGCTCACTGGTTTCTGATAAAATGATCACCTTACCGGTGTTGCACCGTTGCATGCTGTATATAAAGTGCTCATTGACAATTTTTTTGATCGTGGATGCTATGTGCACAGGCATATGCAGAACTCTTGGAGGAAGAAAATATAAGTGTTCCTGCATGGTTTGCTTTCAACTCGAAGGATGGTATCCATGTAGTTAGTGGTGATTCTTACTCTGAATGTGTGTCGATTGCAGAATCGTGCAGAAATATTGTGGCAGTGGGAATCAACTGTACACCGCCTAGGTTTATTCATGGTCTAATATCTTCCATTAAGAAGGTAAGATATCTCGTTTTTATTTTTTTTTTGTTGAAAAATCTCAATTAAAGAATGCACTTCTATCGAAGTACATTATATGCGTTTAATGTATTTCATTTGTCTGTCAACTAAGAGAGTTGAATGTTTTTATTGCCTGTGAGATCCCACGTCGGTTGAAGAGGGGAAAGAAACATTCTTTATAAGGGTGTGGAAACCTCTACCTAGCATACGCTTTTTAAAAATCTTGAGGGGAAGCCCGAAAGAAAAGCCTAAAGAGGACAATATCTGCTAGTAGTGGGTCTGGGTGGTTACAAATGGTATTAGAGCCAGACACCGGGTGGTATGCCAACGAGGACGCTGAATCCTGAAAGAGGGTGGACACCCCGCGGTGTACCAGCGAGGACGCTAAGCCCTGAAAAGAGGTGGACACCAAGCGGTGTGCCAGCAAGGACGTTGGCACCCCGAGGGGGGGGATTAGGGAGTCCTACATCGATTGGAGTGGAGAACGAGTGCCGGTGAGGACGCTGGGTCCTGAAAGGGGTGGATTGTGAGATCATACACCATTTTAAAAACTTTGAAGGGAAGCTCAAAAGGGAAAACCTAAAGAAAACAATATCTGCTAGTGGTGGGCTTGGGCGGTTACAATTAATATCGATTTTATAAAATTAAAAGTCGAAAGAACAGAAAGAAAATTTTCATTTTGTTCTGATTATTTGTTTATTGCGTTAATGTCTTTTCTTCTCTCTTTCTGAGTTTTTTGAATGGATACATCCTTAATTCCTTACCTTACAAGACGGTCATGGAGAACTAATTGTTTCTAATGAATCACTCTTTCAGGTCTCTACAAAGCCTATAGTGATATATCCAAATAGCGGTGAAAGTTATGATGCTGATCTAAAGGAATGGGTGGTAAGTCCATTTTATAACCATCTTTGATTCACTTCTTTTCAGACATTTCTTTGGTTGAAATGAATATACTCCCAAATTTACAATTATCTCTGAAATGTATTATATATGTTAGAAGTTCAATTGTGACAGCATTGCAGTTCGAAAGAGCTTTGACATAGCTAAGTTCATGAATTATTCCCTTTTTAAACAGTGATCTAAATTTCATTTCTGAAGGGACAGGTTTGATATCGTTCCCCACAGTCATTCTGTACTGCGTTTAAAGCTAGAAACTAACTGTTTCACTTAGCCCGTAACTATGATATTTGAAGAACAATGCTAAATAAGTCCCAACGAACACACTTTTTCTGGTCTATTAAAATGTAAGCTTTTTTGTACGTGATGCAGCAAAATACTGGGGTCTCTGATGATGATTTTGTATCATATGTAAACAAATGGTGTGAGGTCGGGGCGTCGTTAGTCGGAGGTTGCTGCCGAACCACTCCAGATACAATCAGAGCTATTTACAGGACCCTTTCAAAGAGAGAAGAAAACCATTCTCTATAGTAACATCTCAAGGTAAGCTGATTCTCTGAGGATGTCTCTTGGACTCGTAATGGCTTCGCTGATGAATGAAAGGATTGTATTTTCTGGAAGCACATTACTTACTACCGTTCTTAATTTTGACTCTTTTAACTTGTATTAATTTTTACCATACATCAACTTGCACCTCAAATTTAAATAATATTACAGTGACAATCTTACTCCTCTTAAGCCATCATCTTCAACCATTAACATCCTCATTAGCCCCAACAGAATTTCATACGCAAATTCTTGGTGATAAACAGCTTCTTTCACCATCATATACACAACTGTTTGTAACTGAAGCTCTTTTATATATGATCATGAAAACGTTAAACTTGATACAACTGAACAACCAGTAAAAATGGTACACAATCAATCAGCTATTCCCCAGTTTCATATGGACCATAAAAGCGACTATGGGGATTAAACCCGAACGAAATGAGGATTGTTGATATTTTGCAGTGCGTCGGGCTGGGTTCCTGTCAGCTGCCTTTCCTGGGTAAATGATATAGTGGACTGCAAATGTAATCTTGTAACAGAGCTTTGACATGCAATGCATTGTTAACAATTTAGTTGCAATGGAAGGTTAAGTATCAAAACCAGAGTAGATTCCACTCTCCCTCAACGTTCTCTTTT